ATATATATTATATATAGCTTCTTCCTAATTACATATCGAAGGAGCAATAAGGAAATAAAATAAAGCGATAAAAATAATTTTTCTCTATCTTGGAAAAATGAAAAATGTGTACGATATCTCAAGTATACTTCAGCGATGTATCCTCTCCTGCTTTCAGTTACCGTGAGAACGCCCAGAGGCTTTCGAAAGCTTACCGTGATCGACCTGCCACGCCGTTGGAGACGGCGGTATGGTGGACGGAATACATCGCTCGGGGCAATGGCAATTCTTACTTGCGTAGCGAGGGCGCGGATCTACTTTGGTACCAGTATCATCTCATCGACGTCGCGCTCGTTTTGATTATCGTCTCCACAGCACTCATCTACATCTTCTTCCGGTTGATCAAGCTGCTGCTGTCGTTGCTTAGCGCCGTCAAAGGAAAAGCCGGAAGCCAGGCTGGAAAGAAGAGCAAGTGGAAGAAGAAGGACTGATGACAGACGCGTCGAAAAAGGCGATTACAAGGTGAGAGATGAACGACGCAGGACAAACGCGGTTTTTTTATATAAAAGTTGTTGGCGACGTGCATATTATGAACGAATTTTGAGCGCAGTGGAGAGAACATAATGAATAGATAGAAATAAATCCTAAAAGTCATTGTGGCAACGATTTGCATGAGAAAAGACTCTTGTAATCGTTGACATTATTAAATCTTCCGTTCCTATATTTTCTTATATTTTATATAGTGTTTGATTCAATTATTTTCAGGTGGAATTAGAAAAGCATGTTACAAATCGACGTCGATTGGTTTTAGCTTAATTATTCGATCGGCAATTTCTCTTATCCGACCTTAAAACTGGCGTGGAACAAAGTCATCTAATTTCTAGATAGTTCTACAGTATTTTATGGTATCCAAGTATAACCGTTAACTGAAACTCCGTCCGAACAGATGGTGTAAAACTTATAGTTTGCGAGTTCCTCTTTTTTACTTTTTCCCGTTTTACGACAGACAGCGAAACTATCCTTCATTTTCTGCCGACTTGCGTGGCATTAAACATTTGTTCCTTCATTTCGGCGGCAATCGAAACTATAGTTTATTATTTTTATCGTTATATGCAATATGTTTAGCATAGACTTAACTTATATATATTTAAACCAAATATACAAATTTTAGCTAATTTATCCATTTCCAAAAATTGTAATACTATCTCATGTGTGACCGTTTTAATAAACAATAAAAAAAATTTTAATTGATATCTTACAATAATATATACTGTATCTTTATTATGATTAGATTTTTTTTTGAATATATATTTTAATTACAATTACTCAAATATAATAAGAGAACTTTAAAAATATTTATAAGTTGATCCATATCTCGAATAGAGGAAGAGAAATAGAAAACAAAAGATAGAAGAGAAAGCGAAAGGGACGGTATAATACAAAGTGTAGAAAACAGCCGGAAGCAAGAAGAGGGGACAGAGAAAGAGAAAGGTACATGGAAGAAAGGAAGAAGATGGCAAAGAGTAAAAGGTGAACAACAAGGGGCGAGGGCGAAGGAAGGGAAAGGGGGATGAAAATGCCGTGAGAGCACGGGGCAGGGAGATGTACGAGAGTGAGGCAGCTTTGCGGGCATTAAAGGGTATTTCCCAGGTGGCTGTGTCTCCCACTGCGTCAACCAGCTTCCGCCCTCCCTCCGGTTGCAGCGCAACGGCAACGGCAAGCAAGAACCACGTCGAGTTTACGACGATGGCTGTGGCGTCGTCGTTTGCAGCGATGCCGTCGCTCTTTCTCGTGCCATACTAGCTGCAGGCGACACTCGAGGCACCGGTTGCAGCAACACGTTTCTCGCTGATACAGGGAGATCGAAAAGATAATTCACGATTTTTTTCGGAATAAAATTGTTCCATATTGACAAACTTCAAAATTATGCGCAATCGACGAGTTTGCGCGTTTAATGAGGACTTATTATACTAATGAATGGATATTCCGCGAAAGCAATTTCAAGAGAATTTTAATTAAAGTTTGGTGTTGCCAAAGTATTTAATATTGGAAAATTAACAAATTTTTGATAGAGAAAGCGTTCAGTTTTGTTCGCCCATTAAAGAAGGATAAAATTTATATTAATTAAAGAATCTCGTCACACAAAGCATCTCGCAAATTTACAATCACCCTGTATAAGCGTGCGAGGAACGACAATGGCAGTCGCTTTTCCGGGAGAACGGCTTCGACGGCGACGCGACAAAGACGGATCGCGTGAGCATCGCGCCGGATTAAACGCGATTCACCTCGGTATACAGAGCGCAGATCTCGTCTCCGCTCTATCGCCTCCATTTCTCCGCCTCCGTGGAGGCAGTTCTCTCTTTATCCATGAGAGCGGAGGCATCTTTGTAAAGATACGCGAGACGGTAAACATCGGCTTTCGGTGTTGCTTCGGTTCTCGCGCGGCGATAATCGCGCGATTATCTATAATCTGACTATCCGAATATTTCTATACGCAGCTGTCTATATTTAGTGGATAAATTTTACACAAGATACCTTTCTAAATCCGCCGCACATTTATTTATCTCGACGGATTTATCGGTCAATTTTATTTTATTGAATTTCTTTTTTCGCAAAAAATGCATGATTGGATGATACATTCGTTCTCGTCACATCAATCTCTGATTTTAAGCGAAATTATTATCTTATAAGATTATTCAACGACTGACATTATGTGTAACATAGATTATTTTAATTAATTGTTTGTTGATATTGGTTTGGAAATACATGATTAAAAGTATCTTAGATTTGAAAAGTATCATAGATTTTCACAAATTGTACGGAAGCTGTTATCTATTTTTTATAACAATTTATAACAATTTTATTAAATTCAATATATCCGCTATGTGTTCCAACCATATTTAATTATTTTTCTCTCACGACTTTTATATTTTCACACAGTCCTTGATTTTTCCTCACCAGCAGGAAATTTCTTTTTGTATAGTCTTTTTCTTTAATCCGGAAAAGTGCATTCCAGTTGTTAAATTCGCGTAAATTCCATCACGATTTGTATTCGCTGTCTTAAACTAGATTGTAAACTTAAATTATTGAAATGAAAGATTAAAAAAAAATATGATAAATTGTATAAGCCAAATTGAAATATATACAATTTTCGTTTTTAATTATAATTATTTTGAGAAAAACATTTAATATGATAATTTGAAAAAGATATAATAGTACGTATTATGTACACGACTTAAAAAAATGCATTTTAATCGTAAAGTAGGAATTTCATTACTAGAGGGTGTTAAATATAAATAATAGGGATGTATCTTTGAGTTTCAGAGTTAATTGGGTGTTATAAGCGTTGCATTCGTTGTTCTAGCCGATATCGCGAAGAGAGTTCGAGATGCAATTGACGTTTGACTAGCGAATCGCGACGCGATAAAAATAATGAGTATCGTGACTTCGTGACTGTGACGACGAACGCGTCGTGGCGTTTTCATTTCACCCGGTTCGAGCTGTTGCACGTGACGTTCAAAAACCCCTTAAAACGCACGTGACACTTTAATCGAATCACACAGCGGTGCGCCGCAGAAAGCCAGCGGCATGCGCTACGTGCAGCGATTGCTGCAGCGGCTGCACCGCCGCAACGTGGTGGCCGAATGATGTTTTTGAATGTATGAAAGAATAGTTTGCGGCCAAATTTGTTCTTTATCGTTTGCCTTTGATTATTCCGGCGACGATTGTATACTTTGTACGACAGAAAAAAAAGTAGATGTAAAAATAGAAGTAGCGAATTATTTTTCTTATTTTTTGGTAAAAAGTTTGACAAAAATTTTTATGTCTAAAATTTTAAACTATCTTTTCAAGAATTTTTTGACAAGAATGTAATTATCATTGAAAATTGCAAGTTTATTTATGTGTTTTGTGTGAATAAAATATATATTAAAAAAATATTTTTGTTAAAAAACTATTAATATATATTTTTTGTCAAAAAAATGTCTGACAAATAACAACTTTTTGGAAAAGAAAATGTAGTATAAAAAAGAGAATAGCTATATTTTTAACGCTATTGTCTGTAAAACATAATAATGTAACAAAAATTTGTTTTTCTGACGCAAAAGTCTATTTAATAAAAGTTAAAAAAAAACATAAGATAATTTGATTTTCCTCATTCATCTTTATGCTTTGATGCACCGATTATGATCACGATGCTTAAAACGTTCGTAAAAGATGCTCGACGCTTTAATGGAATCACGGTGAATACCTTGCAGGATCTTTCATAGGATTGCGGTGCATGGACTGGCTGGCGTATAGCGGGGTAATTTCTGGATGGACGGGAAGTAGGTCGACGCAATGTCAATTTCTTTCCTAACTTTTGCTTGTGTCTCAACTGAAAAAATTTTAGTAAAATCTGCGATCGTAAGAAATTATATATATATGTATCAAAGTCAATATATTTTAAGCAATAAGGAATTATTTATTTTTTTTAAATAAGATATCGGAAATATAATTTAAAAAAAACAAGAAGATTGAAAATAAAAATGAGAGAAAATATAAAAATTTAATAAAAATGTAATAAATTATAGTTATAAAACTAAGTAAAATAGTAACCAATGACAAAAAATAAATGATTGTATTGAATAGATGAATTAATTAATTTTATAAAAAAGTTATAGTTTCTTATTTTCGCGTCACAAAATAATGCAGCGAGCTCTGCTCTAAATGTGCAACACGGAGTGCACCGCACCGTGTTAATTTTCTTGTATTCAAGTTAATGAATTTTTGCGAGCGTCTTTTTATATTTGTCAGAAGCTTTTTCACGCTCTCTCGCCGGTAAAAGCATCTTCTTAAAAATGCACATGCGCAGTAGCGTGTCTGTTGAATTTTATTGGAGGTATATGCTGAGAAAATTTTATAAATAATTGTATATTTTGCTTAAGCGAAAAAGTTATGCTACCGTATAATCGGGGCAGTAAAAAATTTCAGCGCCGTGCTTTACGCTTCTCTCGCCATTACCATATATATCGTATACATTTATCGCGCTTTAATTTATCTTGATAAAATTACAGATAACTTAACTCCGTGTGGTTTTTTGACCTACTATCTGTATTACAATAACAAAATTTTCCGCATATACCGGTGCACGAAACCTTTCGTGACTCGGATAAGAATATACTAGATAAAAAACGGTCGTAACTTCTCGCTTTATTCATCGTTAGATTTTAATTTCGGAGTCAGCGCGGGATATTTTGAAACCACTAAAATATTTTGAAACCTGCAATATATATACGACGTTGCGAGAATAGTTTTTAATAAAAGTCTAAAACTATAACACAAAATATTAATTTTTATAGAACAGATTGTTAGAGATTTTATAAAAAACTGTCTTTTTAAATCACTATACTTGGTTTATAGTAGTCGTAATATTTTTCAAGAAAAAATATTTAACTATACATATATTCAAATATAGAATTAAAAGAGAATTTTTGAAACTAAATGTTAATAAAAAATTGACATAGGAAGCACATCAAATCCGGAATTTTTCAATAAAAAATTACTTTATATGTCAATTTGCCGCTTGTCCACATTTTTTTTCAGCATTGTCCCTTGACAAAGGAATCGAAATGCTTGACTTGAGATAGCATCGATATCTCAAAAATCATCGCTTTTTGAAGTTGCGGAGAGCCATCGGTATGGAGAGCGCGACGAATCGTATTGATTTACGCATGGTTACAGGATGCTGCAACAGGCTAACCGTTTTTGAACGACGGATAAAGTGGCCTCGCGTTCGCGTCGTGTCATTTCTCGCTCGCTTTAACTTGGTTGATTGAATCATGAGCGTGGTTCGGCCCTTTTGCTCTCATTCCCTGCGGGTCCAGCTGCGAGTCGATGGACGAGATTAAGTTTGGCCATCTGATGAACTTTGATCGTTCAGCATTCTATCTTTTTTATTCAATTCTGGAAACTCCACGACATTTTTGTAGGTTTATATCTGCTTTTAGACGCGTTCATTTGTTGTACGTGCACATATCACAAAATTGCTATTTTAATTTTCTTAAATTGCAGAGTACTAAATTAATTTAATTAGCTTTTGAATACATATTAAATAAATTTTAATAAAATTATGCATCTGTATGTGTGTGTGAGAGAGAGAATGTCTATAATTATTGTTAAATTGCGATAAAATGCTCCTTAAAGTTCACGAAATAATTGATGGACTTACTATAAGACCACTAAAATAATAAAACGGTTAAAATACATGAATG